AGGACGACACACACACACACACACACACACACACACACACACACACTTTGCTGGCCTGGAAAAAGTTTTCCTCAACCAAAACTAATCAGGTCAAATTCATGAATAGTTTCAGGTCGATTAAAGCAGCATTTTTCAGCGATTAAGCTACGTGAGTGAAAAATTTCACCCACTTCTCATGCTGAACCCCTTCAACTGCCACAGACTTCAGTCTGAAATCAGGGGGTGCTGAGGAGGCTCTGGACTTTTATGGGTTCAGTCCCTAAAAGAACCATCAATGGGCTCCTAGACCATTGGGAAATTGCATTAGTGATAGCTTTAGGATGCTGGCTGTTGGCTAATACCAGCACCACCATCTTAGGCACATAGAGGTTGGAGATGGAAAAAACACTCAAGATCATCTTGCCTCCCCATTCGCAGGGCAGGTAATCGTCTCTCACAAAGCACGTAACATATTACACTGTTACGGGGGTAAATCTCAGCCCGGGACTGCAATGAAAGCACTGTGAAGTCCCTTTGTTTTCTGCCATTGCCTATGCTGCTTTGGATGAACGAGCCAAGCTGTGGGCCTTGAAGGTTAGATTTCCTGAGCAAGTGTTTTAAACTGGGTGCTCCCTTTGTTCTCCCAAGAACTCAGCTTTCTTCCTGCAGGACACATACTGCCATTGTTCCTCCAGGTACTCCCGCTGTACTTCGGCAGACTCCCATTGTTCCTCCAGGTACTCCCACTGTACTTGGGCAGGCTCCCATTCTTCCTCCAGGTACTCCCGCTGTACTCCGGCAGACTCCCATTGTTCCACCAAGCTCTCTCTCTTTGATGCTTCAGAACAAAACAGTGTTTATGAAAAACATTTTCAATTTCACCCTTGACTGAGCAGGTCAGGCCTTGCTCGCCCTGAGTCCACAGGGACACCAGCTCACTTCATCACCTCCTGCTCCCTGAAGTTATGAATCATATTCACTTTCACTAAGCCCCCCTTCCTGGCTGCCAGTGGAGGGGACGTGGACACAGTTCTTTCTGCAGCCTGTCAACGCTGTCTCACACCAGCCGGAGAGGCAGAACAGGGGTCTCTCCCTCCCTAGAATTCCCAGCATTAGCAAAGGGCCAGGACTGGAGAGGCAAGGATGGTGCAGATCAGGATTGAGGTGCATTGACACAGCCATATGGGGATCCAGCAATGGAATAGCAAGGGCACTGCAGGCAGGAGGTCTAAGGTGTACTGATAAAGCAATGAGGTGCACTGATAACATAGGGGCACCCAGCCAGACAGGAAGTGAATGCTAAAGTCACAGCCAGCAGGGTTGTATAATGGTTCAGGTGTTTCCCCCACTCAGGTGTCTGGCTATTTAACAACTTGCCATATGCCATGACATATACCTTGTACCTTGGCCAAACCACAGTGCGCTGCTCAGGCAGACCAATGTACAGATATTACACAGCACATTAATGTTATCCCTCTGGGTGCCAGGATAACAGATCCCAGTGAACCAGGGATGCAAAGGGCTTCTGTCCTCTGTCTGGGTCTGTCATCTTGGAGCACGTTAATATTTTCAGGGAAAGACTAACAGAAGGAGCCGGAAATGGGAAGAGGGCAGAGGAAACGCTCTTCCAAGATGAGCCCAGCAGAAACGCTCACAATAATAATACATTGTTAAACAAAACCAGAGGGCGGGCCAGCTTCTGCAACCCCAGGACACAAAGGCACTCACACTCCTTTAGAAATATAGGTTATTATTTTAATGCTCATTTTAAAAAAATGTAACCAAGACATTACACTCAGTAGCATCACCAGCAGCGGGCTCCTCAGTGCCTGGCTGTCTGATGACTCATCACATTCTAAACCATTGGTCAATGCACTTAAAATATAATCACATGCGCAGAATCCACCCCCTCTTCTGCCACGCTGCTCCCACTCCTAAGTGATAGACATCGATAGAGGGAAAGGGGGAGCAGCCAATAAATCATTTATAAAATATTTAAATTAAAAGGGTAAGAGATACCACGTAGGCACTGGAGCGTTGGGTCCCCTTGCCCCATGGGGCAGTGGGAAGGTGTAATACAAGATGGAGACGATGGCTCTGAAAAGCAGAGGAAAGAGGAAAAATTCTCCTGTGAGTGGGAAGGAGGCAAGGAGTGAATGCAACAGTTGCTCTGGGATAATTTGGTACATTGTGGCTTGAACTAACCTAGCTTCCAAAGTAAGGCTGGGAGGTACAAGAAACAGGTTCAGGCCTGATTCTCGCATTCTAAGCATTTGGGGCCCAGATTCTCTTCTCACACCAATTTCCCACTGGTGAAACTTCATTTTAGTTACTCCTGATTCATGCTGGTGAAAGGAAGATCAAAATCAGGCCTTTGACCTCTTCCACTCAGCACTGGAGCGAGGTGCCAGGGCTGATTCCCCTGCCAATGGTAACCATGGAGAGGACTGATCTTTAGGCAGCGTCCTTATCAAAGAACAGTGGAGTATTCTGCAGCTGTGACACCACACCCTGCTCCGTAGCATTGCTGCTATTTGGTTAGCCATTCCTGTAGAACATTGTTAGGTTATTTATTTATTTTTAAATAAGGGCTCATCAGATGCAGATCAAGAAGAAAGGCCTTTGCGACTTTTGGACATCCTAAGAAGATGAGCAGCATCTGTGAAGGGGGAGCCGCCCAAAAATCTATTCTGCCACATAATGACCAGATGGGAACAATCAGCTACACCTGCTTGGGGAAATCAAGCATAAATATGGGACGCATGGGTTATCCAGGATAGCCAGGCCACCTATGTGTGCCCCGGAACCCGCAATGCATCTCCCCAAATCTTCCAGCCCCCTGACTGCCCCAGAATCCTCCAGCACACTTCTGCCCCCCCACCCCGAGCCCTCCAAAATCTCCCTATTTTTTCCAAACCTGTCCCTAAACACAAGCATTCACTTACTGACCAGCACAAATTACAATTTCGTTGGTAAACACTCATTGTCTGAAATAGCTCTTCCTGTTTCTTTCCACCAGTTTTCAAACGTTATCTGTCATTCAAACATCTTGGTCTTGTCGATACATAGGTTTCTGCTATTTAACTCTGCAACTGTACTATTCACACCTGCAAAGGATTTTGAAACAGGCTGTCTGAACCATGCTATACCGAATAAAGTTGTGACGTATTGCGCACACACAACCAGACAGCGCACTATCAACTAAAAGGCCCAAACAATGGCTCTTGATAAAGTCAATCCTGGCAACCAGGCAGAACCTCATCTAAAACTGTGCAAGGCAAATAAACTCTGGAATTCACTAGTCTCCTGGGAATGATGAAATTCATGGAATCTTCCTCACACAGAATCAGACGCTAGATATCTCTCTCTGTAGGGAGAGGGACACCTAGGCCCCTTCTCTTCAGAACAGCTGTGTTTCATCAGCTAAACATTCTCCACTGCAAAGGAAGTGAGGAGGATGTGGGAGGGGGAGAAGCACATCATCTTTGACCTTTGTATTGACCAGTGATTTTTGTAGTTGAGAGAAGAGTGGCATAACAGATAGATAGTTGAAAAGGACAGATAGAAGAGTCAGGAGAAAAGCATATACTTTGCACAGAACTCCTTTTCTCTGGATCTTTTCAGACAGTGATTACGGTGTTGATGCCCAGTGTTGCCAATCACAATCAAACAAAGAGCCTCACAACAGCCCCAGCTCCTGGAGTCACAGTCTCACATTTAAATCTGTACTTCCAATTCACAAATATGGAGATAAACCTGAAAACACGAACCCTAAAAAGGATCAAAAAGAGGAAGGCAAATAAACAGAACTCCAAATGCCCTGCTTTTAAAAATCTCCTAGTATTTGGGGGCCTGACTGAGGATTTATCAACCCTTGGGGTTGGCAGCACCTTGACAGGGAGTCCAATACTGTGTCTGTGGCGTTTGCTGTCAATGTCACTGTGTGCTAGCAATGCTGGCTCCTAAAGCTATTGATGTCCCGCTGAACATTGTCCAGTAAGCACAGGGACACTTGAGCATGGCAGCCCTCATCTGCTTGTCGGACATTTCCCCAGCAAGATATCCCAAAGGTCTCTCTCTAACACGTATCAGCCAAAAGACGGCCGGGTGTAATCTGATGGGCTCCATGTCATCCCCTAGTCATCTTTTCTGGATGATGACGATCATAGCACCTACAAGCCCCAATCATGGACCAGGAACCCATTGTGGTAGGCGCTGTACGAACCCGGAACAAAAGATGGTCCCTGCCCTGGGGAGCTTGCATCATCTCTAAATCCTTACAAGCTGAGCTGCCCTCTGCCTGGGGAAGGGATGCCGATCTAGTGCAAGCTCCCCTAGTCCTGCCCACAACCCGTGAATCAATCCCAGCCTCAGCTTCCCTTCAGCTTTTGGGGGCTACAGAGACCCCATTTCCTTTCAGCTCTGGATGTTAATGAAAGCGCATTTGACGCAGCTGGTTGAATGCCCTGAACAGCAATACTGGAGCCAATTCCGAGACTGCTGAAGACCAAGTGAGCTTATATGACAACCCAGTTAGGCTGGAGAGTTTTCCAGTGGGACCCTCCCAAGTTTGTTAAACCCACATAGATCAACTCTGTCCTTGTAGTAACAAAACTGCACGTTTGGGTGTGAGGAAGCCCGGGGAGTAGTGGAAGGCAGCCAGCCTGTGTTGGTTCTTGTAAAGTTTGATGTAATATAGCACCAGGCAGATCCCTGTGTGACAGCCACCAGAACGTGACAGCACACACTATCTGCACTTGTGTGCGCCAGCACATGAGCAATGCTGATATTTTCCCACACTTCCTTCCCTGCTCCGCTTCTGTGTGGACCTAATTGTTATGCTATGGAGGCAGGATGTCATCTTGTGTTATTCTTAGCAGCATTTCAGCGCCTAACAGAGTTCTGAAAAGATCAAAGCCCTTCATGTATTCCTCCACTGCTGGAAGGTTACAGAAGGTTGGAGATGCACAATCCCCCACATAGCATAGAGGAATATATTCCACCAGGGAAGATCAAGAGTAATAAACCCCCCCAATCCCCATTCACCCAGGGAGCACAACGGAAAGGAAATTCCCTTTAAATAGCTTGTCAATAAGGAATGAATAAGAATAAGCATTGGGTTTCCTTCTCTTCCGCCCAAATTTCAGAATCTCTCCCCTCAAAAAAAGTTACCCTGATCTGAGGTCTGGGATGGCCAACGCTCAGACCTGGACCAGAGACAGGATTGAGTGGAGATATATAAATGCTTCAGGGTCAAAGAATGGATCACTGGAAAGGGGAGATTCCTAGCTTTCCAATGGGACAGACGACACCTGCCTCTAGCCCCAGAAGGCCCTGCGCTAGACCTTTTTCCACACCAGTGTTACAGTAATAGCTATTTTAGGTGAGCTTTGGAATCGGTTTTTTTATGTAACCATACATGGCAGATGCAGCATACAAGCTGATTGGGCTTGGATAAAGATTGTATTGGCCTCCTTTAGGATGAGTGGCTTCACCAGTTACAAGTAAGGGGCCATTCCAAACACATGTAAAACCCCTTTGTAACACACCACACCGTCATGTACCCTGTATTAGAGACAGATTAGATCGCGGTCTATCAGAAAGGCAGGCAAGGCTAATGCTGTGTCTACACAGATCGGGGAGGGCTGCCTGCACTGGTGGTTGTTTTCCAGTTCTCTGACACACAAGCTTCTTTCTCTCTCAAACTGCACTCACATGCCCCCACTTCTACCGGTGCACACATATGCATGTGCACTCATTTGTAATGCACACCCACATGCTACAGAAACACAGGGCTTCACGGTTAACCAGATTCCAGGAGTTGTTTGAAACAATATAGAAAAAAAGGTTTTAATGAACTTGGGCTCATATGAATTCCAGACTTTAAAACCAAGTTCAGTTTTAAAAGTTATTTTTACTTTCAGGAAAGATGAGAAATTAAAGTTCACCAAAAAGAGGAATTCTAGAGAAAATGTAACTAAGGCTGTGGAATGAATGGCCATTCTGCGTACACAGGTGCAGAGATACAAAGATAGACAGAGGAAAGAACCAGCCACAAAGACATTGCAAATATGGACCTAGTACCAGCCTGTGGTCATCTCTCACTGCTACCAACACATCTGCCAGCAATTCACAAAACCTGCCATCACTACCTGATCAGCCCTTCCCACACAGCCCTGCCCCTGCTCTGCTGTTACCCACAGCACACAGACACCTGCCATTGTCCCATAATAAAACTATCAAATCATCATATATACTCTTTGTTCTTTTGGTGAAATGGAAGGGTCTGAAATACAGTTACCAGTTTGCTTCAATGTGCCAGGACATAGCTGGACACTGTAGGCTTGGATAGAGCCACCCTCTCTTGTATACATTCATAACTGACAACATAATAGCTCCTTACGCACAAGTAACTTCCTAGCGGCCCATCTCCATGGAACACAGGGGAGGTAAAACCTTCTGTCCATATTCCAGCTCACTGGAATATAATTCATAACTGATCTAGCAGTGAGTGGAAAATCAGGAAACCTGTTGCACTAGTAAGCTTTAAAAACTGATTTTAAAACAGAATCTCACAGTTGAAGATGCTGAAAGTTCCCACCAGGTGAATCCCTTCACTCTCCAAGCAGCATAGGCATCTTTCCTGACCAGTAGGCACTGCTATACCCTCTACTTCTGTTAGAGGCCACAGTGTTAAAAGCCCTGCCCCCTCTTCCTCCTCATGAAGTAGTAAATGTTTCAGCCACACCTTTATTTCTGTTGGTAAAGACACTAAACTGATGAACAACCACAGATACACAGTACAGCATAATGTCATAACACACCCTGCTGGAGCAGAGTTAAAATTCAGATGTCAGATTTGACCTTTGCTCTCTTCTCTCTGTGTCTCTGAGTTGGGCCTTTGATAGCTATAGTGTCCCTCCTCTTCCTTTGTTCAAAACGGTGCCTCTCAATCTTTCTCCAGTCTAGTTCTTTGGATCTTCTCATCAGTCCTGGGTAGGGATAGTGACCTGATAGTGACCTGGCCTCACTCCACTTTTCCCCTCATCCTCCCTTTCTGCCATAACAGAGGCAGCCAACAGAAAAAAACAAACAAACAAACAAAAACCCAACAGATTTCATTCCAGTGGGAAGACGTTGTGAGAGTCATCAGGAAATGTCAGCTGCTGCCAAGGTTGAATTCTCCAGTTCAGAGTAAGAGACACGTGTGCCAATTAGCTCTTCAGTAAGAAGTTCCATGTTCCCGCATGCATCTGAAAGATCCCCATTTTTGCAGGAATGTGGGAGATGCCCATTTATCTCCATGTCTAGTGAATTCCCATTGTGGTGCCATTCCAAACCTGCCTTGCATTTACTCAAGTCCTGGATGTCAGTATCTTTGTGGATAGCACCCAACTCCCCATTGGCATATATGTTCAGAGCGTACTCACTGATCCTAATGCTGGCATTCTCTCCATCCCCACCATAAGTGGAAGTCCTAGTACTGGCAGTACCAGTCTTGAACTGCTTCTTGCCTACAATATGCTGCCTGAGAATTTTACGGAAGGTGAGTCGGAATTCCCTGATCCGGTAGGCATAAATCAATGGGTTCACTACGGAGTTGGCATGAGACAGGATAATGGCCAGGTACATCAGCCAGAGCGGAGGACGGGCACAACCCGGGCAAAAGAGTGTGAAGCAGTTTATAATGTGGAGTGGAAGCCAACAGACGGCAAACAACCCAACGATGATGGCCAAAGACTTGGCCGCATGGACTTCCTTCTGCAAAGTAGAGCGTGAGCGTTCCCCATGTACCATCTTGTTCTCCATCTGTTTGAGCTGCCGCCTGGCTGCCAGAAAGATCTTCAGGTAGATGCCAAACATGAGGAGGAGGGGCACCAACACACAGGCAAAGAAATTGTAGTAGACCATGTACTCCATGGTGACCACTGTCTCGAAGAGACAAGCTACCATGCTTTTACTGCAGTTGCTGAGCGAGGCGTTATTGGTGTCCTGAGCCTCCCTCTGGGAGCATTTGTTCCAGCCCAGCATGGGCGTCAGGCCGATGATGAAGGATAAGACCCAGCAGATGGCAATGATACCTTTGGCTCGCGAGCTGGTCACCAAACCATTGTACCTGGAAAGCAGAGGAGAGGAGGATTACAACAGTGTAACTGGTACAAGCCCCTGTAACTTCCCAATGCTCATCTCCATGGACGGTATGGGGGAGGTAAAGCCTTTCAGGGAATACTCCAGCTTGCTGCAACGTGCTTATCAGAAGCATCACTGAACTGCAGTGCTGAGCCCGTTTCCTTCAACCCAGTGAAGGCCAGAGTGATGTTGGACCTGGACAAGGAGCCCTTCTAATCTATCCTATCCACTCTTGCGCGGCGAAGGGTGGGTGCCAGCAGCACCAGTCAGCTCCCAACACATAAAGCCGATCAGCAATTCCCTTCTCTGCCTTACAAATACTCACTCATGGTTACGAGCCTGCTTGTCAAAGCATAGAGGAAGCAACCGTCCTGCTCTGCCCCTCCGCCCGCAGGGAACTGAAACACCCAGAGCTGCTGCTCTAACTTTATCTCTGTGCACTGCCAGAGGCAGAAATAGCTACTGGGGATCCCTGTAGTGTAGTGTTGCTTGCTCCCTAGCTGAGTGCAAGTACAGTACAACTGCCCGGTATCACAGAGCTCTAGGATACTGTGCTAGTCGCCCAATGTCATAGAGCTTAGATGAGGGTCTCAGAGAAAGGGCACCATTAGCTCAGTATCAGAGCTCAGGCTGCACAACATGCCTTTGATGGCAGTCACAGGGAAGTCAGTATTGCCAACCCAACGCTGATCAACTGAGACGGGATCCATAACCAAGCTGAGCAACGCTGACAATTGTGCCTTTCACAAAGTAACCGATTCAGCATGGCTGGCAGCCTCAGCTGAAGAAAGATCAAGGACTCTGAATAACAGGACATACTGTGGTCTGGCAGAGCTCTGTGGTCAACATGTCACTCTACCCCTCACGCCAGTGCTTTCGGCAATAAATCCACCCAGCTATTTTGAGAGTAAAAACTGAAGCGCAGTAAGAACCTGACACACCACCAAAAGGCCTTTGTTTGTTTCAAATATTAGCTGATCCATGGGTCTAGCATGCTGCTGTAAGCCCTCAGCTGAAGGCACCAGCTGTATGCTTTGAAAATGTAAGTTGTAGTAGCGTGTCACATGTGAGTACAATCTCTTTTCCCCTCGTAGTATTCACACAGAAAGGGAATGGCAGGATTCCCACATTGTCCGTTGCTGGGTCCCACACTGTACTTGACCCTGTGCGTGCGTGATCTGACTCTGGGCTGCTCCCATGTTCTCCAGCAGTTGCACTACTTCTTTCCCCATGTCGGATTCTTTTAACAAATAAACTTAAAAAAACCACCCAGAACTCGCTCTCTTTCTCAATGGGTTTGTTCTTCCCACACACGCTCCTCTCCTAAAGCAAACTAAAGTCCTGCAGGGAAGGGGAGGAGGGATGCTGCTTGTCTCAGCCAGAGAACAGAACTGGGAGGTGGCATGTGTTCTTAGCCCCTGGGCATGAGATGGGAGGGCAGGCTGATCATTCAGACATTCTTTAATTGCCTTTCAAAAGCATAAAAAGTGGGAGACTGGGGAAAAAAACAGAAGCATGGTGCAACTCTTTTCTCTACCAGCTGGCGAGAGGACTCAATCCAGATCTGGAAGATAGAGAAGGTTTCTCTAGAAACTGGTGACAGTTGTGTGAATCCTCAGAAAGTGTCAAGAATACTGCCTATCCAGGAGGAGAGAAGTGGAGTTACTCTTAAATTCAGATCAAACCGACATGAGTGGAGTTATACCTGTGCTTCAAAATGTATATTTAAAATCACAAAGAGGGAACAAGAGATTGGAGGATGGCACTTGAAGCTTTAAAAAAAACCAACAACCTAGAATTGGCTGCATCTTTGTCAGGAGGAATTTTGAAATTGTACAGCTGTTATCCCACGGCTGGAGAGGTCCCTTCCCTGACACTAAAAATATATTTATTGCAGCTCTCAGTGCTCTTACCCTCTGGGGATTTCCATGCAACAGGCTTTAAAGGCTTGTGAAACAGCTTTTAACCCAAGCATCCTCCTTGCTGTACTGCCCTACAGCACTGGGCTGGCAGTAGAATTAATCAGCATACAACTGGGTCCTTCTATAGCGCCTCTCATTCAGGGATCCCCCAGAGGTTTGAGTTGTGCCTCACACGGTAACATCCCCCTTTGACAGGTCCATAGAGACAGAGAGAGATGAAAACACATTATCTACAAACAAGTTCACCACAATTCTGAAAGTGTCAGGACAAGGTGACAAACCTCACTGCCCCTGTAACCTAGTAAGAAGGTAAACTCAGGTCTGTAGAGATTGAAGGACTACATACAGAATGGATTTATTGCTGTAACACAGCCAGGTGCCTTAGAGATGGGAACCAAATGCATATGTTTAAATAGACAGGAATAAAATCATTAATATAGCATCCAAGAGGGCGTAGGTTCTGAGCATGTAAAAAGTCAGATTCCTGCCCTGAAGAGGTTATAATCAAAGGGACTGATCCTACCGACAGTTACTGCGAGGCTTGAGCCCCATGGATTTCAGTGGGACCATTCATGGGTAATAAGTAGTGAATCTAATAGCAAGTGAGACTCCAAGGCAGAACATCTTCCAGACTGTCAAAAGCCTTGTGACAGTGAACTCTTCCGGTGCTTCTCAAGCAGCCTGTAACTAACACGTGGCTAATGGTGTTAGTGTACAAATGAGGAAATAACCTACATTCACTCTAAGCAGGGCTGTTTAATTCTACACCAGCAGAAACAAGGATGTGAAAAACAATGTTTGTCCCAAAACAGGTTACATCAGGAGGGAAGGGCATTACAAACTATGGACTGAAAAAAGGCTGTGAACCCAGGGATGTCCAAGGGCACATCTGACTGCTCAGATCCAAAACATGGGATTTAAAACAGAAAATCAGCCATTTCAGCAGCCACTTTACTCGCATAGGGTTCAATTATCAAGCGTGAGCTACCGTTTCACATCTGAACTCCAAGATTAGCAAGAGGGCAACTAAAGTGGACATTTAAGACGACTTTTCAGCATCTCAGGTTTCAAGCAGGTCTCACTACATCCAATTAATTTCAATCTGTGGTGGTGAAAATGTGATCCTTCATTCCAATATGAGCTCATAGCTGCAAATTCAACACTAGCTAGAAGGTACACCTTACAGAGAACTTCCAAGTGACTGGGAACATGGGTCTCAGCAATCCTAAGAAAAAGGGTGCCCACAATTACTTGCACATCTAGGTTATCCAGGCGCAAATCAGAGTGGGAAGAAAGATTTGCAGTTCAGCATATTATTATAGTTGACGTTCGACCATCACAAATAAAAGGATTTCTTCCATTGTTGTTGTAGCTGTACTGGTCCCAGGATATTAGAGACACAAAGTGGATGAGATAAAATCTTTTCTTGGACCAACTTCTGTTGGGGAAAGAGACAAGAGCTCTGTATAAGCTCAAAAGCTTGTCTCTTGCACCAACAAAAGTTGGTTCAAGACATTACCTCGCCCACGTTGTCTCACAAATAAAAGGTTGCTACCTTTGAGAATGGGGACAATGTAATTTGAGAACTTTTCTGTTTGACTGCAGGAAGAAACCCTGTCTTCTTCTATCCAGTGCACCTCACCTACCTGCCATTTCATCATGGGAATACCTTTTATACCCCCTGTCCCCCTCACACATTGTGCCCTCTGAGCTGGGAAATGCCTGTTGTTCTTGGCCAACAGCTTCACCCCGGGACTAAGAATACCAACCAGTTTTATTTATAACACCCAGGTTTTGTTGTACCAGTGAGCAAAGGCTCTCAGTGCACCTGACATATTAGGGACATGAACGAATTACCCCTGAACCATTCAACAGCTAGTGCTTCTCCCTACGTCAAACATGCCCCATACCACTTCTGGAGTGCGGTACCTGTATTAGCGCCTGTCAGACTTTGTAGCCTAGTCCATAATTCCTTGCATCATCGACTAATCGTTTAGAAAAACTTTTGGAAAGTCTGTCAAATTTTGCACCATTTTCCATCAAAAAAAATTTGGAAAATAAAGGTTAGAATTTGTGGGATATTTTTAAGCATAATTCATCACTGATTGTTTGACACACTTTTTTTTTTACAGTTATAATTATACCCAAGCGTGCGTATTTTCCCCACCAGCTCTCGGACAGGTCAGAAATGTTGAATCTTTAACAAAAGTTTTTTTCCTCCAACTGTCTGTCAAATGTTTGTGTTACTTAGGTGTTGAAAAATAACATTTTGAACAGTGTGAATATCACTTCCCTTTTCCATTAACCAGGTTTTGCTTTCTCCTCGTGTCTGAGGTCAGAAATCTATTAAGGTGTCTACTGATCCATAGATTGTTCCAGGGGAAACAGAGTTGACAAGATCTACCACTGCTACTGTAAAAGACAAACAGAAAGGGGAACATGCAGGCCCTTTTGTACACCAAGCTACACACTGGTTTTTGTACTGATTCAGTGATGTTGCTCATTTGTTACCGAAATAGTTAAATTGGAACAGCCCCCTTGTGTGGACACAGTTGTACTGATATAAAGGTGCTGATATTGATGTAGCTTATTTCCATAATGTAATGGTATAGCTTACATCCTATAAATGTGTCCAAACTAGGGGGCTTTACTGGTTTCCAAATCTATTTGCTAAAGGATATAGTTATAGTGGTACAAAAGGCCATACAGACCAGCCTTCAGGCGAAGAGCACTGCATTAGTTCACATTGCAGAGAATGTCTTCACAATTATGAGGGACAGAAGCCTTTTATTCTTAAAAGAACGATTTTATTAATCAACAGGAGTTCTGGATGGCCACGCTGCTCACAAGTGGCAAAGCCACAGCTAAGCCATGCAGGTCATCTCAAATGATTCACACTCAGAGGTGGTGATTTCAAAAGCACATAAGTGACTCAGGAGCACAAGACCCTTCAAAAGGCAAAATTTATCACATCACCATGGAATTGTTACGTACCACACTAAAAAGAGGTTTTGCAGATACATTTGAGAGACTTTAAGCCTTATGTCCCCAGTCCTGCAAATATTTACATATGATTAACTTTAAGCATGTGAATAGTCCTAAAGGGACTACTCACATACTTAACTTTAAGCCTGGTACTATTTTTATATCCTTCCACCTGTAACAGGCCAGGTTCCCTTAGCACCATAAGTCCCACTGTGAAGACCTCAAAGGAAGAGAAAAACATAATTAATACATTCTAGAAACCTCTAAAAGTGGCGTAAAACAGCTTCCCTAGACATAATAATTAGGCTTGGAAGGATTTGATTTTTATTGATAAATGTTGGTAAATGTTTATTTTACCCCCCACACCCCAACGAAAACATATTTCCATCTATAATTACTGAAGTCTACCAATAGGCAAAATTAGTAAAATCCTGTTTGAGAACTTAGAGTTTGATTTAACAGATATTTACTTTGTATATTTTGACATGTGATGTTGATAAAGCTTTATAATTGTTAAAACGGAAATTAACTATTTGAATCTCAACATTTACTGTCATTAAATAATTATTTTCTAACCCTCCCTGAATTTCCTGCAATTGTGAAAATTTTAAATCAATAAAAATTTTAAAAAGGCTTAAAAATTAAACATCCTTAATTGTCAGAATTATAAAACATAAAAATCTAATTCTGGCAACCTATTAATAATGATGGGATTTTAATGCCCCTTCAGTTTCTAGCCCTCATGGATCACAAGATGCTAAACCTATACAATTGTGAATATTTACCACTTCTGTGCCTTGGGCCAGTGTAATTTGGGGGAAGAGATCCTACCTTTCTGGGGAAGATGGTAATATTTGTATCCTGGATACTGCCTGGTTTAATAAATAAATACAGTGTGGCCTGACGTGGCGTGCTGTTGTCCATCATCCTTGGTTGCACACTGTGCTACATATTTTGCATTCTCCTGATTTTCATGAGCATCCAGGTGTCTCAGACTTTCAACTAACTAAATTCTGCTGTAGAGGGAAATTAGCTACTCCACATGTTAGTCTTCTACCAGTTACATGAAATTATACAATCTTTCTATTATATATCGGCTTGGCACAATTAGATTTTGATGGACAATATCAATGTTTATTTTTAAGCATTTTAAAATTCGTATTGCTTTAAAGTTTCACAGTTGCGGAAAATGATGGGGGTGGTGGTGGGGGAAATCAGACAATAATTAAATAACAGCAGACATTGAGATTTAAAAAGTTGAAGTTTTATAACCCACTAACACAAATTGTCAACATTACATGTCAAAATATACCAAGTAAATATCCTTAAATCAAACTTAGTAAGTTCTCAAGCAACATTTTTCTTATTTTGTCTATCAGTAAATGTTGATTATTATAGATATATTTGCTCATCAGTTTCTGTGTACGGTGAAATCAACATTTACTGATAAAAATTTAATCCTTCCAAGCCTTCTGCTCCCCAGTAAATATGCTCAAATTCATCTGATGCACTATTAATAGAGATGAGTGAATAATTCAGACTCATTCAGTGAGGTTTGTGTCTCTCTGTGGCATTTGCCTGGGACACAGCATTTGGAAGAGTGCCGTTCAAATGAAATTAGCCATTCTGCAGCCTACTTGGCTGATTGTTCTAAGAACTCAGAAGCCTATTGCTAAATTGTGCAGCCATATTTATTCCTAAGCAGAACAGGCAGCAGCTGTATCCTTCCCCACCTCTGGGCCAGGTCTACACTAAAAAGTTCGATCAACCCAGCTATGTTGCTCAGGGATGTCAAAAAGCCACACCTCTGAGAGACACAGTTAAGCCGATCTAACTAAGTGTAGACAGTGCTAGGTCAATGGAATTCTGCTGACCTTGGTACCACCTCTCGGGGAGAGGTAGATTACCTACAGCAACGGAAGAACTCCTCCCATTGCCATAGCAAGCATCTACACTGAAGCGCTACAGCTGCAGCATTCTTAGTGACAACAGAGCCTTAGAGGTTACAGCATGCTCCCGATGTGTCTAGCCAGCTTTGCTGGCTGGTGCTGCAGTGGAGGCTGGAGGAAGAGGACTGCCTCCTCCATGCTCTCTTTGGTCTGGCAAACACCTGCAGAGGCATTGTGAGAGAATGGTCAAAGGGATGACAACTGTCTCCTGCTCCTGCCCTTCCCCATCCTTTGTGCATCTCTGCAAGGATCAGCCACGAACTGGCCCCTGAGGGTTTCCTTATTGCTAGAAAGGCACAATACCTGGAAATCAGGCTTTATCTCGTTATTTGCTTGGGGTATAAGTCAAAGAATTACCAAACGGGCAGCAAATTACTTCAATTCATCAAATAGTCAATTAGCTGGAATACTGAATGTGCCTGCCCACAGGGCTTTCAGTGTCTCTCCCCACTGCCAGGTTACTTCCACCAGGTTCCTCTTCCATCCCTCCACGATGCTTTTATGTCTGGGGGGTAGGAGGGGAGGAGAGGGCAGGAGAACAGCCCACGTACACTGAGCAGGATCAGGCTGCAGTCACCACCACAGGAGCGTCTGGGTGGCAAATGAGAAGCAAGAGCCGTTACAATTTCCCTCTGCAGATGGCATCAGAATAATCTGCTGGGGGGCGCAGGGGTGAGAGGTGGCGAGGAACAAGTGAGGGGGAAAAAGAGAGAATGATGCATAGGAATGGAGAGACAGAGCAGAGGTGTCACTAGTCACAGCCTGCTCTGCTCTGGTCCAGGCTACCCTTGCTGGAGAATGGAGGGTGTCACTCAGATACAGGCTTCCTCTGTGACTTAAATGCCTGAGAAATGACGCAGAGGCATTGTCAGTTAACTGCTCCACAGAGCTCCCCACTTTGTAATAAACCCAGAACATTCAGGGTTTGAACTGAACTGGCAGCATTTATCTGCAGGATTGTGATGATCACATAGGGTGGCAGCTCCCATACACAAGGTAAAATGTCCCCCTGGCCCATGGGAATCTGGTTGCTTGTCCATAGAGCAGCAGCCACTCTGTTTCAGTTTGCAAGCTCTATTTTTGAAGGTCCTTTTCTTCCCCAAAAGGATGGTGTGTGTGGGGTGCCCACTTATGGGATGGACTTGGGACAGGACCCAGCCTTTGCCAAACAGCTTTCTCTGGGAGAGACGCTGGATCCTCTTGCTCATGTTGAACAAAAAGCCGCACTCTCCCTCTTAGCCTGTGTCAGATTAAAGCACCCCCACAGCCAGGGCCGGCTCCAGGCACCAGCCCACCAAACTTGTGCTTGGGGCGGCACCTGGAGGGGGAGGCGCGGTGCGGCGGCTCCGGCCGCCGGGGAGAGCGGAGCCGCAGTGGGCTCGCCGCCCTCCCCCCGGTGCTCTGGCCGCCGGGGAGAGCGGAGCCCCAGCCAGGCTCTCCGCCCTCCCCCCGGCGCTCTGGCCGGTCGAGGAGAGCGGCCCGTGGCCGGGCTTGGCGCCCTCCCCTGCCGCGCGGCAAAAAAGCCAGAGCCGGCCCTGCCCACAGCCCCCGAGAATGCCTCCCATTTCCATCCGCATGCTCGCCCTAGAGCAGGGGTTCTCAGAACAAATTATTTGGTGGCCTCAGAGTGCGGCCACCAACTCTTGCTGGTGGCCACTCTCACACTTTTTCCTAAAATACTTAATTAGCTTTAGGAAAAACAAATAAATATGCACATACACAACGTCCAAATCATTGTAATTTATTTATTGCTAGCTAGTAACTCTACTGCGAAAAGTGATATTAACCAACATAACCACATACAAGTATCACTTTTCACAGAAGACTTACCTAGCCCCAGGAAGTCTGGGGACAAATTAAGCCTGGATGGGGGATCGAGGGAGGCATCGGGGTCCGGAGCCTGAAGCCCCATGGCCAGAGCCCAAAGCCTCGCGGCCAGAACCTGCCTCCCCCGCCACCCCTGGGAAGGTGGGGAACTCACCGGCTGACAAACCCTTGCTGGAAACCCCAGCAACCAACACCAAGGCTGTTCATCCGGGAGCACCACAGAGGGGGAGGGGCCGCTGGTCCCCTCCACACACCTCCCCCCCCCGCAATCACAGCCCAAGAGGCTGTGGCCGCAAGAAAAGCCCCTGGTGGCTGCATGTGGCCCATTTGAGAAACGCTGCCCTAGAGAATCTCACTGTAACAGCAAACCTCTGCCTACCAGACAGAGCCCCTGCTGTCCAGAGGGGGGTGATACCGAGTGAGTGCTCAGCTTTCCCACAGCGATCTGTCTGGCACTGTCTGCTCCAACTCAGAACACAAATCATTACGGTTAAGTCAGGAATTTGTCTCAGTGCAGAATGGAAGCTCCTGGGCAGGGTCCAGGTAATGCCACGGGCACATACTTCGTGGGACAAGGAGGAGCCAGAAATAAAAATGCAACATCCAGGAAATCCAGCAGGAAGGGGCAAGTTTTGAGGTCTAAAAAGCATTTTCAGATTACAGTGAAAGTGGCGTCATTCCCTTTAACTCTCTCTTCCTCCTTGATTATAGCACGTAGGACACTCTAGAGATGCCCATTCCATCTGCGCTTCCCCCTCCCCCCCACTCCAGGTCCCACCCACTCTGGGCTTACCTGAGAGGTATCCGGATAGCAATGATTCTGTCAATGGCAATAGCCAGGAGACTGAAGATGGAACTCTGAGTCAAAACCAGGACGAAGCAGGCGATGAAGAGGCAGCCATAGAAGAAGGCACAGAAGCCAGTACTGATGGTGATGGCAAAGGGGATCGCCAGCACGCCCACGGCAATGTCGGCTGCAGCCAGGGACACCACAAAGTAGTTGGTGACGTTTTGCAGGTTGCTGTTCAGATAGACTGCCCAGCAGACCAGGACATTCCCCAAGATGGCCAGCACTGCAATGACCAGTTCCAGGATGATGTAAATTACATCCGAGAGGAAGTTTTCATTCCCATATACTAGCATGGTGAGGTTGACCAGGCCAATGCAAGAAGGTGCCAGAGAAGCTCAGTGTCCATATCTGCAGTGCTGCAAACAGCCACCGAGGCACCTCAAAATGGTCTGGGTTCTGAAGGGTACTCAGCTGCCAGCTGTTGGCCGGAGGCTTATCTTGCCCCCTTTTCCCTTCAGCTGATTTAGCTGTCTACTACAGAGGGCACAGACAGACGGAGTATAGGGTTAGCCAGCTTCAGTAGATAGGATAAACCTTGCAGATTCTCAGTGGGTTCACCATAATGCAGAAGCACATTTGTGGTCCACTGAGTTCCGACAGATACGATCCCAGGAAAAACTTCATGTAGATGAACCTTCACCCTCCAGATCAGAAAGACCTGCAGATGCTGAGTGTTTGAAATGTACTGCCTGGTATAGTCCTGTGTGGTGAGGATCTTGGGTTTCCTGTTGACAATCACAGTTCTCTTCACTATTTCCTGCCACCTCTCAGGAACATCATCATCTTCTCCCTTTTGTCCTTTTGCTGAACGCTCTAGGACTCAGGGAATCTTCTCGTCAGCTGTTGCAAACATCCAACTTCTCCACTTGTTTCCCTAAAAAACACAACAAAAATAACCATGCTAAGTAATCAGCTCCAGTGACAAGATGGGAAAAGCAAAATCTCATTCAAGTGACACATCCAAGTGATGTTAGTAATAAAACAGACAAACATGAACATCACAGGCAAAAAAAGCTGATATTTTGTCCCCCTCCAAAGCTGCCTGGTTGAAGTCAATATTGCACAGCGATGATGCGAAACACAAGGGCTGTTTTGTTTCTGAGGCTACCAACGGAGCTGACAATTCAGCAGCTGCTTGATAGTTTGCCATGAAACATGAGAGCCCAGCGAATTATGCCTTAGACAGCTTTCTGCCTGGATCGGAAAAAGGTGGAGACTTTTACACACATGCACCTGCCTCCAGGCTATCACACATACATGACGTGTTACCTGCGCTAACACACGTGTGTACTTTATGATTATATAAATGCTGCATGCACTTGCACAGGAATAACACCACGTGATCACATATAAACCACTCAGTCTAATGTAAGGATGCTTATATTGTTTGCATAGGTAGCAGTTCTGACATTTCTTTGGAGTGCAGGGGAAATTCCAAAACATGACTGACAACACAAGAAATACCCCCCAGAGAACTCAGAGTGTAACATCCTTCAGTACTTTCCTACCCAGAAGAGACAGACACACACACTGCTCCAAGGACCCGCGCACAGTGCAGACTCCCATCCTCTCACAGACACACACCCTTGCCTACGCACACAATCCCTGACACTATAAGCAAACATGTAATTCCTAGCTCTGCTATAGCGTTTTTCATTCATAGGTCTCAAAGCACTTTACAAAGGAGGTCAGTATCAGAATGATGGCCACACAACCAGTGATACACACATACTTATGCAGACATACAATCATGGGTATACACACACTCCCCCTGCACAAAGGTACATGCACAGATGCTCACATAGTATTACACCCACCCACCCACCCCTGCAAAAAGCGGCAAGCGGGGCCCCAAGAACACACATTCCCATGCACGGAGAAGCTCTTAACGCCATACACACAAACACATGAACTTGTATTCCTGGACACACCCACACTGTCCGCACGAGTCAGATACATGCACAGCACTTACCGCCGCTCCCATCACACCCTCTCTTGTGCAGAGACACACACACATTTGCACCCAGACAGAAACTCCAAAGTGTCACGATCAAGAATGACGCTTGCTGAGCTTAGTTTAAGGCTCTGGTCCTTCGCAGTCCATCACAAGTGACTACAGGATGTTATGCTTTGGCTCCTCTGTAGTGAGTTTTAAGCCTCATTTACTGCAAAAGATTGCCGGTGTTTTGTCCTTTGTTTAAGGGAAGAGTACAGTTATGACAAACGAACACAAGTAGGGATGGGAAAGAAAGGGGCCTTGGTGTCAGTTGCTAAATCACCACCGGGTTCAGTTTCAGAAATGCAGATAAGCCTCCCAAAATGAATGTTTTGGTGCTAGAACAACAGATGACCCTGAACAGCCGGTTTTCACATCTTCACAAAAGATAGACTGATCTGACGTCGGAAACAGAATTTCTCAAAATAAAATAAAGGAGTAAAGATAGTGAAAATGCAATGAACTTGTGATTCACATCTCATCTCAGGGAGATAAGCGAATCTTGCACCTTTCATTGGTTTAGATCCCTATTGCTAGTGCTGTGTTTGAACGGAGAGGGAGTGGTTCTTTTGGATTTAGAAATGCTAAAACTGTTCCTTTTCATCAACTCCTGATATCCCCTTTTGTTTTATATGTATATTTTGGGGAAGTCAATAGGGGAAATGAACTTGCAATGTAGCCGGTAAGGGGCAGATAAGGATCTTCCGTTTTACCAATAGTACCTTGAGGAGGGACAGTCTCTATTATCTTTCTCTATCCAGTCCCTCCAAAAGCTCTTCTCTCCACCGTATGTCAATAAAGTTAAAAGTATAGCCCTGTTTTACCTCTCCAAATGTCATTAATTATCCATTTCAAATCCTGCCTGAAACACACTGAAGGGCCCACTTGCCAAAATGCATTCTATCCTGAAATCCAGCCCCGGGTAATAGAGTTAACAGCAGATGAGCAGAAAGAAAGAGACAGAGATACAGGGAAGAGGGCAGAAAAGTGAGATGACAGGAGACAGAGAAAGAGAAGCAGAGATGACAGAGTGAAAAAGTATAGAAGAAAAATGGGGAAACAAGTGGCAACTTTAGGGATAGGAAAAAATTGCTCCAAGAGTTATGATGTGTGTGTCTATTGGAAGTCCCATGCTATGAAAAGGTTAGTCATTTGAATTGAACGGTCACAGCTAGAGCCCACAAATGAGGGCTTTGAAGTGGGGAAGGGGACATCAAATTAGTTCACATCTCTCCAAGAATGCAAAACACAAATCCTGAGTATGACTAATCCGTTGAGCTTTGTAGGCCTTTTTTTCAAACGATGTGAGGCTTCCTAACTTACATTCATATCGCCAGACACATAAAATTAATGAAACTCAAACTTAAGTACCAACTCTCTGCTAAATAAACACTTAGTGAAATTTAACAACTGCATATGGAGTATCTCAGCCAAAACCTTTGACCCATAAAAAAGCCAACTTTAAAAAGAAAAGATCTATCACATCAAGCTACGACAGCTATAAAAACAGCCGTGCTCGAAAAGAACTAGCCTTTGAAGTAATCAAGTTAAACAGGATCAATAGGATATCTTTTCCCAAATCATCACTTCCTTGTGTAGGCTGATGAACCCATCTTAATCCTAATTGTGCTTTATTTAACTTGACCACTTCACCAGCTAATCTTTGTCCAACATGGCTATCTTTAATCAGATTAGGCATGAGATAGATAGCAAGGTTTTATTGGATTTCCCTGATGCGCATCATTCCAGATAAGTCCCACCTAGTTCAAATCCATGCAGGGAGAGATGGAATTTTCTGCAGTTGAGCACATCCTCCTGGAAAAAGATGCAGTAATTTTAAATGTAATGACTGTCTTTAATTGTCTTATGTCACGAGAGTTCTTGTACATTCTACTTCACCCAGTTGCATCACTGACTGATTTCCTTTTTATAAATTAGTCTCCGGAGGCTTTGAATTTGGCTCATGCCTAGTTCTCTGGTTCTGTTTGCATGTTGCAGTCTTATTTTTCCATCATAATCTTCTCTGTTCACCTCAGTGTTCTGTTCAGAAGGAGGACAACTGGTTCTTATATTCTGCTACACTCTGCTTTTTCATGGGATGGAAAGCATTAGACCTGGGTAGAGTTGATATATCTCAGAAGACAAATGACTGGAGGTGAGCAAACATTCCAGCCATGACATGCCAGCATTGCATCTCCTTCAGCACCAATGTTTCTGTGGTAGGTAGCAACTGGCATTAGATACAGTGTTTGAATTTACAACATTCCAGCATCATGACTGCCACAAGCTCACTGAGTACAATGGGCTCTGAGGTGCAAGTGCCATATACCGATTCATTTCCCATCTCCTTCATTTTCCATGTGGTGGGGCAGGATTTACCTTCAGCCCGCCGGCAGCCAGACTCTTTGGCAGCAGAAGTATTTGAAGCTTGCTTTAGTTCCAAAATTAGTTTGCAAACCAGGCCCCAGTTTGTTCAGTTCATATTGCTAGAATTTACTGAGCAGGAATGAAAATAAATACAGACATAAAGGGGAAGACCTATATTTTGTGGGTACTGATTTCTCTGAGGAGCATATATTCCATGTATGACAACAGTCCAGCAGCCAGCACTGATGAGATTAATTTACTCACAAGCCTGCTTTACTTACGAAGGTATTGGGGGTGGGATATTTAACATTTCAGTTAGGTCCTCAAGGGATCAACATTGTGAACTTCTTGTGAATTGGGAAAAATAAACCTGTACCATGCAGCCTGCTGGACAGCGACAATTAATATTGCTTCTCAAACTCATGTCTTGTTCTGTTAATTGGATTAATCCCTCCTTGTTACCCTGGGCTATGTTCCTGCCTTTCTCCCATTATTAAATAAACCTTTCTTGCCGCTCACAAACCCCCTAAGCTGCTCCCTTGTTCATTTTTCATGACTTGGAACACTCTGTTCTAGCTCAGATTTCAGCCCCAATGAGAATCTGTCTCTTGAAAACTGAATAAAGAATCTGAACAGCATGTTCCAATGAAGCTGTTCACATCTGGAGGCAGAACAAGCTTTTGTTTTGAGCTCTTCCAACTGACTTTGGACTGAGGTAGTGCCATTGCAGTCTCCTGAGCTGCTGGGGGTTTTTATCTGGAGCGAATGCTCAGATAGTGTTGATTCAAACATTCCGCAGACAAATTCCTTTCCTGCCATTGCCCCCTTGAGGCTCAGTTTAGACCTCTTGCTTTTGGATACACATGCCTGCATTATGCATCATCATGCTGGTGATGAGTGGACTTGTTCTTCTCACGACCCAGCCTCCTTATTCGATGAACATTTTATTTCCAGCTGTGGAGTAACAGGTTTGACAATATTCACAATTTTTAATTTGGTAGCCAATCTCAGGGGCATTAGCAATATCCCACAGGGTACAGGATTTCTCAGACAGTCTCTGATCCTCCAGCCATCAGAATGTGACCCCTCCCTGGGAGCCAAAAATCTTCAAATCCATTGCCTTTGTAGCCAGAGTGCAGGGCCAAGCAGCTAGAGGCAGTGCATGAACTGGCCAGGTAAAGGTACATGCTGCAATGAATTTCAGCACAGGGGAACCTCCCTAGCAGTGTGATGCATCAGGGAACCATGTGAATTTCTAACATGCAGAAGCCGGAGCTATTGTGACCAAACACTGCGTGGATTGAGGTGGAAGAAAAAACAAAGCCAAGTACCTCTCTCAGCCCCTTATTGTTCCTTTAGTCCCCAAGCCCGTGTTGATAGGCTGAGGGCCTATCACACCCCAGCCTCCTCACAGCACTATCGATCCCACCTCCTTGCCTGGAGCCATTCTGGACTCTGACTGGTCCTTCCCCACTCCAGCCGGGTCTCAGGACCAGAATGGGTTTTCCCGGCCGGTTCCAGACCAGTGAAAACCAGTACTAGGGAAAGTGGGTCATGTCAAGGTAACATGGAAGGGAAGAGGTGGTGTCCCTACCAAGAGAGAGACGACCATAATTGGGACTCACTCCACAGACAACAGTCTTGAGCTGGCCCCACGCCACCTCCTCCCCAGCACAGTGCCTCCTAGTGTATCCCTGGGAAATTACACAGTCCCAGGTGCCTAGTTTCCTAAGGGCAAAACCTAGGACTTGTACAGGGTATTATTCCCAACTACCCTAACCCTGAAATTGAGCCAGCAGGTTGGTGCTGTTAATAAGCCATATGTTTCCTGCTTTCGGAACTCAGAAAGGAAACTTTTAGCCACTTGGGAACATTCTCCTCCCTTTGAAGGTGCTTTAACTTAGGGGAAGTTTCCATATCTTTAAAATCTATTGAAATGTCGAAGACACATTGCCTCATGCCATATATTTAGAGGATCATCTATCACACAAATTAACCATTGTCCATTCTTTACCTGTAGCTGAGAAACATTTTAGGCAACAAATGTACTGAAAAATCTGGGTTTTGTTCCTTGTGAATTGCTTTTAAATGCTGCTCACCAGTTTGTTTCCTGCACTTAGATACCAAGGTTTTAGATGCCTTATTTACAATTGTTTCACAAGTTCCCCATCTACCTCATGTCACGCTGCAATGGCCGGGGCGTGGTTGAGAACCGGTTTCCCTACATCCTGGCTAACGGATGAAGAGGTGGCTGGGATGCGCAGGCGGGAGGAAGAGTTGCTCTATCTTAGCAGGATGTGGCTCTTCTGGTTTCCTTATTGGCTTTTTATTGGTTATATTTTTAATTGATCTTTTAGTCATCTGCTTCCAGTAATAAGAGGAAATTAAATATTAACAATAGACTGTTTCCCTTGTGACTTTTCGTCATTAACAAAGGATGAAAATAAACCAAAGCAGGCAAGAATACCACAGCATGTTAAGAGCCTGATTTTCAGGTGCTCTGAGCACCTGCAGCTCCCATAACCTTCAACTGGAGCAAGGGTGCTTGGTCTCCTTGAAAATGTAGTCCTAGACAAGTATAACAAAGATTGAGCTATCTACACACAGTATGTGCGCTTATATAAATCCTGACCCCCCACAGGGGATAGTCAACATCCCTGTCACAGACCTGGAGAGAACTTTTCCGCGTTCTTTTTATCCCAAAAATCTTTTAAGTCATCATCCTTCTGGCTGAGAAAAGTGTAGATAAGACACTCTTGTGAACCCATCAGTGCTGTCCCGTATTCAGCCAGATGAGGAGCAGTGTGTGGCACTCCCACGGCCGGGGCCTGCGCACACTGTCTCTGCAACCTGGGGAAGAGGAGACTAAGATTTAGACTCCAACTTGGGTTTCCCGAGGCTTGGCAGCATGGAGCACACATGCCCAGGCTACTATCTCATCGATGAATGAAGTCCTTCTTCAATGAAGCAATGTAGAAGCCCCCAGCTGAACAACCACGTTCATTTAAGGGCTCCACCAAACCCTCCATTGTTTCACTTTGTATTCGGAACAAAGATGGTTTCAGCCATTTCTAAGACCGAGCCCGTCCATTCCGCTCTCCCCCAGGGCAATGACAGCCTGTCCCTGCACTCCAACCCAACTCCTCTGTTCTACCTGGTTGACGGGGGCAAAGAGACCCCCCCCTCTTCAGAAGGTTGTGCTGCACCCAACCCCAGCCCATCCTGACTTCATTTACTATCAATAACTTTAGCAACTATCCATAACTAATAAAATAATAATTAAGCCCTACCCCACTGGCCTATATACTGTTCCTCCCTCCTCTATTTATAGATTCATGGACTCTAAAGCCAGAAGGGACCATCATGATCATCTAGTCTGACCTCCTGCACATGGCAGGCCACAGAACCTCACCCACCCACTCCTGTAATAGACCCAGAACCTCTGGCTGAGTTGCTGAAGTTCTCAAATAATGATTTAAAGTCTTCAAGTTACAGAGAATCCACCACTGACACTAGTTCAAACCTGCAAGTGACCTGTGCCCCATGCTGGAGAGGAATGCAAAAACCCTCCAGGGTCTCTCTGCTCTACTTACCTCTAAAGTGAAAATCACAATTTAAGGCAGGTGGGGGGGATATACCATCTCAGGTACCAGCCTGAAAGCAAAGCCCATGATGCAGGATGGACCCGGTGCTAGTGGTAGCCCATTGGGGGCCTTCAGCAGAAATATTTTTGGGCCCCCCAACACATACCTATAATTAATAGGGGGCCCCCTTGAGCTACTTAGGGCCCTAAGCAATTGTTTAGTCTGCTTATGCCTAGCATCGGCTCTGGATGGACCAGCCAACAAGAACGGTTAATCTGAAACCTTGTCTTGGGCTTGGTGCCCCAACCTCCAAGAGCTAGAAGTGGATTAATCTTTACTGCTGCACTGGAAGAGGGGTTGGAATGGAAAACACCTGACCATTATTTTCTAAGTGGATACTGTAAATGTTAAACAAAAACAAAGAAGAAGAAACTTCCCCCACAACGACTCCTCCAACTGTAATGGGCACCAAACCAACCAGTGCCAGTAAAGGTACAGGAGGGACGCAGCAGGCAACCGATCGCACCAAAGCTAGGTTAAAAAACAAACGCAAAGAAAAAGGCTCCTTGGTGTCCACTTTAGCCGAGTCTCAATAACTGCAGTAGACAGCAGGAACGCCGCACTGTCCTGCTCAGTAACATGAAGATCCTGGACTGAGCCCTTGGGTCAAGAGTAGACAAAATATTAATATTCATATAGTGTCAATTAAAAAAAGCGAGTGGCTAGATAGTTGCACACAAGCGTAGGAAAGATGCTGAAGAGAATCCTAATGAAAACACAGAAAGAGAAGACTGGTTTACAGAAAGTGCCCTGATCACTAACAAGTTATCTCCAACGATGGTCAGAAGAACGTGTGGTCTCTTGTGGGAAGGTGCATGGCTGTTGATTGGACTCAATGCCAGTTCTGTTTGTTAGACTCCTCTTTTCCTATTACACCCAGTACACCAGTTGCAGACAGTTATGGCTCCACTCAGGAGCATGTAAGGAGCAAAGGAAAAGACCGGGTTTTAAGTAATTCATGAAGAGCCAGGCCTTTCTGGAGCACTGTAGGAATTTGCTCAAAAAAAAAAAAAGTGCCATATTGTTGAAACACATCTGTTCCAGTGTATTTTCAGGTGATGGAATTGACCTCTCTGTGGCTGTCCCCTCCTCTCTTTTTAGAATGCTCAGGGTATATATCATTCAGAGTGGGGTCTGCCATACTATTCATCTACCCACCCACATATTTTTTCTCAGTTTAATTTTAGTCCAATTGCTCTCCGAGCTCATCTCACCATTTTGTACCTGAAGTGTCATCCATGAAGAATGCCCTCCAGCCTTGCAGAATCTCACTCATTTTCCTCCTTTGGAAAGCTTCTGGCATGGCAATAGAGCGATATCCTTCAGATGGCTATGAAAGTTCTCTGCTTGGCACAGTCAGGGTGGAAAGGAACATGTCAGAATCCAGTGCGGAAGATCCTGTTGCACCAGCTAAACTGAGATTGTTTCTTCCATTGTGGGGAGAATACACCTTTCCCCCCTTACTTCTTCACTGAGCCTTTTTAGGTCTATGCAGATCTGGATGTGCCCTCCTCCTACCCATGACGGGCACACTACTTTGCTAGGTCAGTAACATGCCCTATTGCACCATTCTCCTTGATTTGTCCTGCTCTTCCTTCAATTGGGAAATGGGGACTGGCACCTTTTAGGCTAGACTGAGTACATGGAGCTTGGCCCCTCTCATCACATCCACCCTGCTATCTTTAAGGTGGACGGACATTCTGGCTGCACACCGTACCTGCTTCCTCTGTGTTCCACCAGGCCCATCTCAATGACTGTAGTTTGGTCTAGGAGGTTATTGGTGCTGGCTCAATTAATGTGTGTCAAACCCACTCTCCTTGGGCCTTGTAGAGTGAGGATGGGCTTTTAGTTGACACAGCTAGGCTACTGAGCAATACTCTGGGCTGCTCCAACTTAGGGAGCATCTCCATAAAAGTCTCTTTATAAACTGGTTTCACTCTGCCCTGGGATCAATGTGTAAATGTAACACTATTGAAGATTAGAAGCCCAAGCCTGCCCATGAATGTTAGCTATGGACATGACTCCCAGGAAGTAGGCATCATTCACCACTGTTTGTACTATCACCCTAGGTTTTTTGCTTCCAGCGTCTTTTTCCCTTACATTTCTTTAATATGCATAATCCGTCCTGTGTTATCCCTTGTTACACACCTGTAACATTTCTACCCCATGAACTCAGTGCAATTAAGATTTTTTTTTTTAAATGATGCTTCTATTCTCCCCCTGGGAATTTATTCTTCTGCTACTTGCACCACAATTCTATTAGTTTCTTGCTGGACAACACATTTTCACTAGCACAGTCTGCTGAGCCAGCTACACCATCTTTTCTAGAGAGAGCTGAGATAGGATTTTGAACAACACTTTTAGAAAAAAATCAAACTACTACAAAATCTCAAGTGTTCTTTACTAACTCCAAAGTGACAGTGCTCAGCCTGTGCATTCAGGGATCTAACAAAAACGTCCCTTCTTTCTCTGGGTCTCCATGCTCTTTGGTAAAATCATGCCTGCTTATGTATTACGTTCTGCTATGTTTACTAACTCCCTCCTTTGGATCTGCTCAGCCAGTAGACACTGATACTGCACTTTGGGGAGAGCATGTATTGCTAATTACATATGACTTCAAAAGTTTGGAAGCACCATGTTTTCCTGGCAGACTATCAGATTGGAGATCTAGCTTGCCCCTTCACAAATCACTTTATACAATTTTTTATTAGCACAAATTTCTTGTTAATTGTTTATGAGCTAAAATGTTTGTCTAAAGGAAGTGGAAAGGGAAAGAGGTCAGCAAGCACGGATTCCTTCTAATAGTGACTTCCAGAGAATGGTCCTTTGCTCCTCTAAATATTTTTCTTGCTTACAATAAAGACTATTTTTTTTAAAAAGTCTCCAACCCTTGATTTAAATAAATTCCCATCCATTTCTCAAATACGTGACCCAAGCCCAGTCCTTATTGTCAGCCAATAGGAAGTGAGAAGATATTCCTAAAACAGATTTCTAAGTGGGCTCTCAAGTACAAGGAGGTTTACAATGGAGATGGGTCCAAACCAACACCCCCAGGACCAGACACCCTAAAAGTTTGGAGAAGATTGAATTCAGAAGTGTTGAGCCCACCTTGGTTGTACCAACCCCTGTAAATGGAAGGGGAAGCCAAACACAAACTATACAGTAAGGCTGTAGTATGAATGCACGGGAGAAGTCACTGGTCCCCTCAGGAGGATTAAGTATCTGCCCCTTCTCAGGGTAGTTAGGGAGAAACAGACAACAAAATGAACTATAGCAAAGGGACAATCCCATTAAGACCGCCTCAGCCCATAGACCCAAAGGATGCAATTTTACTTCATCTTCTAACAACTGCAACCATCCATTAAAAGTTGGTACTGCCCAGCCACCCCGAGAGTGGTTCCATCTTTGTACAGTTACATAACCTTTCCCAAGTTTCCCCTCAATCTTCCCTCTCCACCTGCGTTAGTTACCTTGGACCCCAGCTAGACAGGCAGCTGAAAAAGACAGTTACCTTTTCCGTAACTGGTGTTCTTCCAGATGTGGAATAGACATGAGCAACACAATAGGTGTGTGTGCTCACCACGTGCACCGGTGCCAGAAGTTTTTCCCCTAGCAGTACCCATAGGGGAGTGCCCCAGCGACCCCTGGAGTGGCGCCTCCATGATGCGGTATAAGGGGCGCGGCACACTCCCCCCACCCTCAGTTCCTTCTTGCCAGACAACTCTGACAGAGGGGAAGGAGGGTGGGATGTGGAATAGACATGAGCAACACATCTCGAAGAACATCAGTTACAGAAAAGGTAACTGACTTTTCTTCTTCGAGTGATTGCTCATGTGTATTCCACAATAGGTGATTCCGAGATGTATCTGTTGGAGGTGGGTAGGAGTTCACAAATTCTTGGGACGGAGCACAGCCCTGCCGAACCCAGCATCATCCCTGGTCTGGGAGATGATCGCATAGTGCGAGGTGAATGTGTGAACTGAAGACCATTTGGAAGCCCTACAAATGTCCTGAATGGGGACATGGGCCAAAAAGGCAGCCGACGAGGCCTGCGCCCGAGTCAAGTGTGCCCTCACAATTGGTGGCGGAGGGATTCCCGCCAGGTCATAACAGGTACGAATGCACAAGGTGATCCAGTTGGAGAGCCACTGAGTGGAGATCAGCTGACCTTTCATGCGCTCAGCTGAGGCGATGAACAGTTGCGAG